CCTATGAATCCTGAGTGGGAGGCCGCCCAGCGAGCAGCTGGCGGTGTTGGGAAGCGTCGACTCCACAGTGCACAGGGTATGAAGGGCTTCAGCGGCCCTGGTATGCATTATCACCGGCGTGCTGAATCTGCTCCTGATCTGCCTCCTTTTGACCCTGGACGTGCTGGTATACATCGTTACAACAGCAGCTCCACCATGGCTGATGTTTTTGAGGAAGACGAAGAGGATGATGACAATGCTAGATCTGGAACAACCGATGACTCTTCGGAAGAAGAGACTGACTCTGACAGCGACGCTACACCTCCAGCCGGTGTTGTTCGAGACCCTCTTCGTAATTCCCAGGATAAGCTATCAGTGCACAACATGAGACGAACTACTTCTAGTCTTAGCGACAAGGATCAAATATCCGGCAGTACGGTCAGAGGCGAACGCTCAAGGTCATCTCTTCACGAAAGTGTCATCGCCGAGGAGTTCCCAAGTGTAATATTCCGTTCGCCATTCATGCCTGCGGAACGATGCGGCACTGCCGACTCCGCTCACTCGTCACTCAAGAGGTTCTCTGCCAACAACGACCTCTCTCCCGGCGAAGTCAGCCCGTTGCACCTTCCAGCACCAGCCAATGTACCAAACAGTCCTTACGCCATCAGCTACTCGTCCTCGTTCCCGTCGCCTAGGTCTCCCATGTCTGTTGATGTGCAGCGAATCTCGACAGCTCCCTCGTCGGTAGCTGATGAGAACAACTTCCGGTCTCTGCTGTTGATGGGAGAGCCTGGTCCCGAGGTTCGGGTTTCGGTGGATTACGATATTCCTTCACTGACGTCGAGCAACTCCACAATGACGCGAGAAAGTATGTTTCTCCCAGGTCAGCGCCAATCACAACCGACACTTCGAGAGCCTCGCCCTGTTTCGGTGTCGTCTGCCTTTGGGCGTCGAAGGTCTAGCCTGGCTAGCCTGAGTCGTCTGATCAGCAGCTCTCACGGTGAACGGAGTAAGCTGTCGATGGAAGTCACACTGGACAGCGATGAGAACAAAAAGGTAAAGAGCAGCCGAACAAAGAAGCTGGGTCGCATGATGCAGTTCTGGAAGCCCGCCAAGGAGAAGGAACCCATCAAGGAGAAAGAAGGCGATACTAAATAATGATGAGGGAGACCCGACTCGAAGAAACTCTACAAGCGTTGGCGTTCTATGACTGCGTCGCTGCATTTGCATGCGAGCATGTGTACAATACTTATTTTCTGGCATTGGTCTACGAGTAACTGAATCTCGGCGGCTGGGCAATTCTACATTATCTGCCATTATTGCACCAAGTAATGTCAAACTTAACAACAACATCGATCAACAAACAGGGTACCAACACTCGCAATGGAGAAAGAAGAAAAAAGCCTTGGATCGATTGATTTATCAGAATTTTGGATTATGGATGGGAATGGGCGCAGAGGTTAATGATTGCATGATTCGCATTGGTATCTGGGATTGGCCCACGTTACTGCTCCCGAGCCAACATATCTGGTTGAGTTGGGTTGAGTGGTAGCTTGGACTCCCGATAGAAGGAGAGGGGAACATGCTCCTGGCTGGCATGCTTGGTGTCGCTGCCGACAAAAGGAAGCAGTGAGACATGAGAGTGGCTTGGTATATCGCGGAGGTTGGTGAGAAATGGACAGAACTAGTAATGAACATAGTGCTGAAATTCTTCAAACTTAGGAGAGTGCAAAATACGTGAGGTATGCTTTGAATCGTAATCAGGCGTCTAGGCTGAAGAATGTTGGTGCGCAGCATTTTGGCGTGGGCGATCACATTCTTGGGACAGGTACACATCTTGCAAGTATCAGGGGTCATCAAGTCGTGAGTTTATTCAAGAATGCCGGCATGTATGTAGTATATCTATGTAAAATCATGGCCAAATAAGTAGAAATGGCGACGTGAGCACAAAATCCTCCCAGTAGAAGAAATAAATAAAAAGGAATCTGGTTCCCAAAACGCCTGGAGCCGATGGCCCAAAACACGTGTCGTCTCGTCAAATTATGTCAGTCGATATCCCATACCAATCCCATCCAGTCAAGTCCAGTCCAGTCCAGTTCAATTCAAAGTAACGGCGCCATCTCGCTTCGCTCGCTTAAATAGAAAGCACATCACATCCACTTTTTGGCCATACCAGCAAGACCACCCCATGTGCTGCCACCACCATCACCACCTCCGCTGCTGAATGTGTGCGTGTCGCGCTCCATGCGAACAGAAGTGTTGCCGCCAAAGCCACTGGCCATGCGGACAGCTTCGCCCACAAGACCGGAGGAATCACCCGTGGCGGCCTTGGAGGCCACGCCGAGCATGCGCTCGATGGCAGGTGGGATGCGCAGGCCGAAGCGTGCGAGGAGGGCAGTCAGAGCTCCGCCGGTGACAAGGGGCATGATGACCATGAAGAAGACCTTCCAAGGGTGGCGCTTGGCCCAGTGGACGAGATCGCGGAGGAGACGCTTGAGCTGCTTGTAGGTCTTTTGGACGAAGCCCTGACGAGGGGAGCGTTTGTAGTAAGAAGAGCGATCTAGTTGGTAGCAAAGCTAGTTAGTAACCCGACGCGTTGACCAGAGGGAGGAAGAACATACTGTTTCCAAAGAAGCTGGAGCGGCTGCTGTTGCCGCCTCCGAGTCCAAAGAATGAAGCGCGAGAGGCATTGTGCTTGCTGCCGCCACCACCAAAGATGGACTCTGCGAAGCCGCGGCCACGCTCGCTCGAGTTTGATCGTGAGCGCTTCTTGTGAGAGCGAGAAGATTTATGGCGACGAGATGAGGTCCTGGTTGACAGGACAGAGGCACCGTCGTTCCAATCGAGGAAGCCCATTTTGAAGGTTTGTGTCCTTTTCTAGGGGCTTGATGGAGGGAGAGGGTTTGAAATGGACTTGTTGATATGCGCGCATTCGCGAGAGGCGTTGGTTGGTATTTAATTGAGAAGTCGTTGATTGATTGATTTTCGAGGGGCAATTGTTGAGTGCGAGAAAATCAAGAAAGAGGATGGAGAATAAAACGAAACGAGTCAAGGGCGATATGCGAACAATTGCAGATGCAAGTCAGAGAGGAGCTACTGTGCCTGTGCCTGTACCTGTACATGTGCCTGTAGAGCGATTTGATACAGTACCCAGCAATTGTCTTGTCGTATCGAACCTATGGAATTGTAGGAGCAGAGGTCAAAGTGGAGGAAGGGGAACACGCGGAACTGCAAGTCTTGCAGTAGCAGAGTTGCTCACCGTAATTCGAGTGGCTGGTTCCAAGGGTCTTCTCTCCACTTGCACTTTGAATGTCCTGTCCCTTTGGCCCTAACGCGCGGGGATCCTTGCTCGTTGATTGCTTGATGTTTGTTTCTGACTCTCTGGACTAGTCTCTACTAGAGTCTTGTTTCTGTTGGGCAAGCAGGTTGCAAAAGAGAAAAGAAGTGGTTCTGGTCATGTATCCCCTGAATGTTGATCCCTATTTGGTGCATGTGCATGCGTAGGTACATATGCGCATCTGGCGGCTCTTGAAAGCATGAACTGAAAATGATCTGACAGGGGTTGTTTTGATGGTGGGCACGGAAAGGATGATGGCGAGATATGCGACTCGCTTGAAACTGCACGGTTCAGTATAGTTGACGAGCTTGGATGATGTGAATGAGCTTATTTATATTGTCGACAGGAAAAGAAAAGAAGACTGAGGAATCCTTGTATCAATATACCTCTACAAGTCGAGATCTGATCAACAACACGTCAAGAGTCTAGACCAATCTCCAGACTCCTGGATATACAGCTACCTATGCAGAACCACTTATATAAAACTTTTCATTGATGGCTTGATGCCCAGTTACACATGATTATCCCTAACTCTTCAACATTGGACTGACCAATCTCCATCCAAAAGCCCGATGTACATGGAATATCCATGACAGAGCCTGCCACATCAACAATGGTATTCGTTGTCTGTTGAAGAATTTTCCATTAGCCTGAGTGACTCAGTACATCCCCGTTGCTATCTCAACGTTTCAACACGTTGACCCGTAGGGCTGAGAAAGTCAATATGGGACCTCTTCATTAACCCTCTTATTAACCGTCCCGTCCCGTCCGTCCCACTGTGGCCCACGTTGTGGAAAAAGGTGCACGATCGATTTTGAGAAACAAAAAAAAAAGCCCCCTCGGATCCTTTTGCCGAAAGAAACAACTTCAACCTTACACCGCCAGAGCTTATCTAGTTACTTTAAGAAAGTGGTACTGTATATAAAGACAAAACCATGCAACGATCACTAGTTTAGTGCCACGTTTAATCTACATCCCGGAGAGCTTCCTGGATGATACCCACAAGCGAGGTGTTGCATATATAAGCGTCCTACCACTTCATGATCTTGGGATGTTGAAGGCAACAGACAGGCCATGGGTTACGCGAGTTTATTCTGCTTTTTCCAAATCAGCTCTCTGGCATGAAAACTTAGTTAGTGAGTACGGGTATCTGCACGACAAGAGCCGCCTGAAGAATATTCGTAAGCTGATGGAGAGTTTTGGGTACTTGGACAGTTGTTCAACGAATCATGAGGATATTGGATATAACCTTGAACAACAAGACATGGCCCCATGCTGTAGGAAGCCAAGAATGTTGATAGGTGGAATTAAGTGCAGTCCATATGCTAATCATGTGTAAGTCGTTTCTATCCTCACTGCTCGCTCTACTAGACGCCCTCTATATCCACAATATCTTCTCTACACTCCGTAACCAAAAATGTAACAGAAGAGCATAAAAAAAGATGTAACGTAGCAGCTACTGGTTTCGATCCAGTGACCTCCGGGTTATGAGCCCGGCTATGAAGAGTTAGAATATTGAATCTAACCATTCGTTGAATGTGTAAAGTAACTTACCGCGCTTCCACTGCGCCAAGCTGCTTTCTGTGGTGGCAAACTGTCTTTCGGTTAGGGTATATGAGCCTCCACTCTCTGTGATCAGGTAACTATAAAAAAAGTGAAAGGAACCGCAAAAAAATTGTAACCATAGCAGCTACTGGTTTCGATCCAGTGACCTCCGGGTTATGAGCCCGGCTGTGACATGTTAGTCATTTGTGCGTAACTTGAAGAGTAGTTGTGTAAACGTACCGCGCTTCCACTGCGCCAAGCTGCTTTTTTGTTGGTGAAGGAATGTGCACAAATTGGGATTTATATAGGGTTACCACCCAAACTCACCTACCCTGTGGCTAGGGTGATGGATAGCATGAGAACCCCGACAAGAACATCACCCAACGGTATGGTAGGTAATATTATATTTTATTGTTAAATTTAATAAAGGCGAGATTCTTTTTCTCTCTGACATGCCACTCTTGTCTTATTGAAATGATTTAATTAAATGCAACTACCATCAACTTGAAGACATCCACTACCACGCGTGCAATTGTTCAGACACCTGTCACTCGCCATTCAAATGGCACAACGTCTTTGTATCAGTCATTCGGAACATATAAAACCATCAGACTGTTGACATGATGCGATATTGATAAAAGCAGTCCCTCCAAAATACGTTCGTCACAAGTCCTCATACTCAAATTGCAGCTTCCTCTATCGAGACTCTTCTCCAAGCATAAACTTAGCAGCTCCCCTCGTAATTCTCTTGACAACCTCAAGCTCTTCCTCATTCCTCGGAGCGTAAACCATAACATCCCCCAAATACAAAATAGTACCGCCCAGGGGATGGCGCTGACCCCAGCCCCTCTCCAGCACCAACTTTGCATCCCGAGGCGCCAAGTTGAGATGCATCGAACCGTCGCTACCATGCATGTGTCCAATTTCTCTATACATACTCTTCGCAATTGGGTGGCTTGGTTTCTCAGAAGCTACGAACAGAGCTTGACCGTGTCGCTCGACGACAGATGTCGCGATTTCGAGCTTGGATGGTGACTCTGACGCGAGTGAGGAGAGGAAGGATTGATAGCGCTGTGACTGTCAGAGACTCTATCGTATATAATTTTCTGCACAACATACGTCAATTATGTCCTTACTCGCCAGGTCTGTCAGTTGTCGACTCGGCGCTGTCCAACTTCCAACTGTCGGTCTCGGTGCCTCTCGAGCAGGAACATCCTCCTCCTTCAAGAAAGCAACACTCCCGTTAGGACCTGCTTTTTGGAATGATTTCTCATCATAACAGCTTGTATGAAAAGGCTCCTTCTTGAACGGCTTCAGAAGAATCTGCCCGAACCATCCGATAACATTGTGAGGTGGTCCGCCAGGTCCGAGGGCGATATAGCCGCGGTAGTCCTCGATGGCGATACGTAGGACTGGGATACCGAGGGCGGCGCTTGTTACTGCGATTAAAATGAGCTGGTTTCGCGGTCGAAGATCGCGGAGGAACTGCGTAAGAGTAGTGAGTTGAGTTGTCATGTCGGGTGTGAAGGTTGGTAAAATGCAGGGTATAAGAATGCAATGACAACTGTATTTATATTCAACTAAACTCATCACTGATACTGTTGATATTATCAGACTTATACTCCTCCCGTTTATACCCCGCGTAGAAGCTGACATCTGATACATCATCCTCTGGCCAATAAATCTACTTGTTGGTTATCGAGTTGCAGAAACTCGTACGACTTTACTCCAACATGTGAGCGATTTCACCCGCATTGAAGGACATTTTATCCTCTTTGGACCAAATGGCGTGAGTTTTGGATAAAAAGGATGTAACTTCATCGTTACGATACACAGTTCAATTGTCATGTACATGATAGGTGGGTCATTCATTGTCAGTCTGGAAAGAGATGTTGTCACTTATGTACCAACCTCTCTACTGTTAAGCTCATATCTCTTCTTGGATCGAATGAATCAACATTCATATACATACCTCTCTATGTGAGCCAATATCAGTTCTACGAACAAACACTTAGAAGCGGGTTTTCTAATCCGTTCGGTACCCTTCCATCAATTATCACCATATCATTAACCCCTTATATGCTACTGCATTTGCCAAACTATAGGGTAGTGGCCGTGTCGATATCACCGAGTTCTGTTGCGTCATGAACGATGAAGACTCATTATCACACGTCAAGTTTTATGGTGTATCAGACTCAAACTTGACTGTTATTATATGGTTTGTCTCTTATGTCTTAATTATGAAACAGTGTCTTGAGACAAGTAAGTATGGGTGAGATATCATTGAGTGTCTTTCAGACTAGATGTCAAACCAAGTGGCACTCGATGTTTAATCCCCTTCTTACTTTACGATAAACAACTCCTACGAACCTCATCAAATACTAATCTCTATTCACTAGACTACGTGAACTAAACCCCAATATGAACTACCAGTCACCTGCGAATCGTCTGAATGTTGTGAGGCTCGGTTCCAGAACCATCAGTCACCGCAGACTTGCCATGAGTAGGGGCGATTCTTTCAATGACATGAACACTTTAAACAGTCCAAAGACTACTAGGATGTCTTTTGGTCCTGTTAATAACTAATCGAGTCTCATCTCTGGGCTACAGTCCTATCCAGTCTCAGAGGTACCGTAGTGAACAGGATGGCTTCAACACACTGAACACTCGATCAACACAGGAGGCCCCTATGTCTAGTTTTATTATCTCTGAGTTAAGATTCAGTCCTCGGTTAAGGTTGTTTTATAAATGGCAGCCCAGTCGATTGTCCAGCGATATAGTCAGGGGCATACTCTCACCTCACAGAAACTCTATCATTCACTCGAGTACACATAGCACGATATGAATTCCACACAAAAAGCAATAACTCAAGAATAACCTGACGGACTTATGAGAAATTATAGGTGGACAATTCTTTGACATATAATTAATAAAAAGCGTACTGTTCTAGATAGAAAAGGAGGCCGAGTAACTCAAGCACCGATGCTTTCATAACCATCACCAGCTCGATACAGATCAGTTGAGACTTTTCTGGTATAAAGAAACCCCTGGACAGCCTATAGATCAAGCACATATTCTCATCTTGCATCAACCTAATCTTGTCTTCGGCATTCAGCAATAAGAAAAGTACATGGGATCATGAACAAAAACCACAGACTCACCTAACCTACATCTCAAACCCCTGTGGACAGGCAGTCAACCTCAGCTCATGAATACTTGATTTACTGTCTTGCTTATAATACTGTTGCATTGGCATGTGCTAGAGGTTGCACGCAGACCTTTGTTCTGACATTATCAATGTCACCTCAGCATCATTCTTACCAACAATATGACAGTAGCAATGATGCTACCCCCTCCCCTGAGTGGTTGATAGCTATGTAACTGGGACTGGCCCTCATTCCCATTTCCCAATCCAGGTTTCCAGCGCGCCTCACCTTGACAACTATCCGTAATTGAGGCGAGGTTTCTCGCCACATTCCTCTTGTTGACAATTTGGGATACCTGTTCGCAGGCCGGCCCTCCTCTCGTCTGATACCATACTACCGGTTTCAACAGTTAGGTGACCGCGGTTGTGGCCCGTATGCAGGGTATATATCTATTGCATTGCCAGGATCCAGAGCGTCGGAATCACAGCAACAATAGGTTTGGTGTGAGAAGTGCCGGTGGGGCTGAACCGTATACCGTCGAACCAGCGCTGATCTGTTGGAGAAGGATCACAGTACAGTTCTCTGGCAGCGATTCTGTCTGTACCGACACTGTACAGAGGGCCTGACTTTACGATGCGGAAAAGGTTACCCGAGATGCTGAGGCACAATGAGACATTAACAACCAACGACATGATAATCGGCAGTGACAACACCGGTTAGCGACTTGTGCCAAGAAGTCAAGCGTAATGTTATGTTGCACTCCGTATTTGCGTTAAGATGTTGCACAAGATACAGCGTCGGAGCTCCGCTCGCTGTCAGAATCGCACAGACAGGGTTCAATCAAACTTCAGCCTGGCTGACTCGAACAAGCTTCTTTCTTGTCTCATTGTTACTATTACGGTAGTTACTCTCAGATCTGCTCTGGCCTGATCTTCTCTGTTCTGCTCAGCCGGCTGTTGTTCATCTTGGATACAGTTACCCGATGTTGCGGACTTTCACGAAATCCCGAGTAGCGCGCGCGCACATACACAGAAACACACTAAGGTAGTTAAGGTTTTGGGTCCGGCATATTACCTCTGACAGTCTAATCTTTGTGGCTTTGTCGGTAGCTGAGACAAAGAGTTAGTATCATCAATTATTTTGTCTTAGACCGCACACACCTGCGCCACAGATCTCTCTTCGGTACATACATACGGTACCTGACCCAGTTTTGCGTATTGTACGTGATTTCGGCCGCCCAACCCCAGACGTTCCAAAAAACCTTGTTGCTCGCTTAACATCATCAAAGATGCAGGAAGTGCGGAAATATCTCCCGGGCGAGCCGCATAAGGGTTTGGATGTTTTGAGTCGAGGAAACTAATCGTTACAATGTCCTGCTGCGTTGTTGATCAATCCTATATCAACATAATAGCGCAGTTAACATTTGACTATCACTCAAGTTTGTTGGAAGAGCCAGCAAGTATCCTGTCCAATGCCATCGCAGTGTGTACCTCCTAGCCAAGATCCTAGGATTTTTCAACTGTGAGATCATAACGGGGGCCGAGGGCTGGATAAGCTGCACTCCCCGGCGTCACTCTCGGTCGTGTCAGAGTGATATTGCGTCTTACTAGACCAGCGAGGCACATGAAAAGGGCTGTAGATATCATACAGAGGTGCGCCCGCCTGCCTGTCAGTGTTTCGCCCTCAGCCGAGCCCAGCAAGGGACGGACGCTACATTGATCTGCATCAACCTCGAATATCCCACTTGTTTCTTTCTCCTATTCTTCCTTACGCTAAGTCTGGCCTACCAGGCAATGCCGTGGTGCATGTAAGTTGAGCGATATGCCGATGAACATTCGCCGAGTCAATGCGCGTTATCCAGACAAGACTGCCAATGACTCAGCCAGCCTTAGGGGAATCCAGATGTGCGTTAGAGTGTCAGAGATAGAAAAACAAAAATTGCGACCCATTTAATAGTGGATTACTTGAGGAGGGTCTGGAAGGCCGTGGGCCGTCGTTGTATTAGAACGCCGGTACTTTGTCGCTGATCCAGATCGGGTGAAAGAGCCGGCGCTAGACTTGAATCTGTCGTAAATGATCCAGGACAGACCAGGCTATCACATGTGCGTCCATGCTCGGA